TCTATCTATCTATCTATCTATCTATCTATCTATCTATCTATCTATCTATCTAGATCTTATTCTATTTCAATGAAAAGAGGTTATTTGAATTCTTATTCTTGTTTAAGCTGTACATTTTGCGTTAATTTCTCCGATGAATCATGGCTTTCATGTATCACCTTCCCTCTGATGTCAGTCACCACCCCTTTGTCAAAGTGCGAACAACTGGGGGTCTCATGGGCGCATATAAGGACGGGCCGCTGTCAAAGCAGAGTCATCTCAGCCCGAGAACAGCAGCACAGAGTCAGAACCTCTCCAGCACCTTCACGTGGAAGATGTCCTCAATCCGTGCCGCGTGCTTCCTTTGCGCAGCACTTTTCGCAATGGTGAGGGGTTTCACCAACGAAGACATGAAAGACGCTCTGCTGAAGAAACTGGGACTTAGTGAAGTTCCGAAAATTCACAAGAGGGATCTGGAGAGCCTTGTGATTCCAACGCACATTAAGAACAAATATATTTCCATGCTGAAACTGCACCACGCAAGAAGACGCCGCTCGCTTCCCAGTTTAGCCGGCATTCTGAGGGGAATCCCTGGCAATGCAGGTAAGATTAATACGCAAAATGGAAATGCACATGATATGAAATTATAAATTAATTATAAATTATATACTATAATTTAGTAGGCTACAACAAGTGTGCCATAGAAATGAACAACTAATGCTGCTATATTCACAAATTAATTTTAAATAAGCAAAATGTAAATATAGTTGGTTACAAATCGCTCTCGTCTATTCCAGACATCTCTGGTGAATTTGTATATTCTGACACGACACGTCAACGCGTGGTGTTTGAGATGACATCAAGGATTCCGGAGAACAGTGAAGTGACCATGGCAGAACTGAAACTGTTCAAGAAAGCCCCACACAAGCGCTCCATACCAGAGAGAAAGGGCCACAGACCCGTCAACAACGCCCGGGTGAGCATCTACTGGGTGGAACCTCTGGAAGACGGGTCAAACCGAACTTCACTAGTGGATTCCAGGTAAGCAGAGACGGCCACAGACAGTCATTATTCTTTCTTCATTATGCTAATTCCACTGCTGATTGGCGTTAAGGAACAAGCATGCTAATTGTCACAATCATTACCTCCTCAGGTTGATTCCCATTCATGAAACCGGCTGGAAGAGCTTTGATGTGACCCAGGCGGTGCACTATTGGTCGAAGAGGCGAATGGAGATGCCCATGCACCTTGAGGTGTGGATCGAGGGCGAGAGCCCCGGCAGTTACGCGGCAGAGATGGCCAAGTGTGTCCGTTTCACAACTCAAGATCCAAACGACAACACTCTGGGAAAACCTGAGCTTGTTCTTTACACCCTCAACCTCGAGGAGTTTGGGTAAGCGTGGCTTCATCTCAAAGCAGCATTATGCTAATAAACATTATTAACTTCATTTGAGATTTCTTACTGGAGACTAGGCTATAGGCCTACCTTGTATTATAAACTGTGAAAAAAAGTCTTGAATATATTAAGTTAAATATATTCAAATAATGCAGCGTAACTTTTTAAAGTAGCCTATTTATATGCACAATTTGCCACATTTACAAAAAAGTTGATCTGTCTGTAGTACACATG